CCTATACTGCTGAGGAGCATATCTGAACCATCTGGAAACCTTCAGCTAGTAGGTGTTTGGGTTGGGTTTTTTTTAAGTGCAAATGGTGGAGATTATCTTTTAGATCCAACTAGGTAGGACTGCACTCTTCCTGGGTTCTTTCTATTGCCCCTCTGGAATGCGGAGGAGTGCAAAGGCTGTAGGAATGTGGTATCTTCATCTGGTAAAACTTCTGCCTGGTTCTAGGTTGTCACCATTGCCCTAAACTGATTCACCTGGCTGGGGGCTCGCAAGATATCCCTGCTGGACCCTGACCACAGCCTACATTTACAAGCTCCACAGAGATGCAGAAGAAGGGGCATTCCACTTTCTGTCAGGTTTCAGTCTTGGAGACTTCAGAAGACAGAGAAGACTCACTTTTCTCTGTGCTTTGTTCTTACAGTTAATCAGTTTCTGGTTTTAATTTTTTTTTTTTTTTTTTTTTTTTTTTTTTTTGTTTTCTTTTCTTTTCACCTGGCTGGGGGCTCGCAAGATATCCCTGCTGGACCCTGACCACAGCCTACATTTACAAGCTCCACAGAGATGCAGAAGAAGGGGCATTCCACTTTCTGTCAGGTTTCAGTCTTGGAGACTTCAGAAGACAGAGAAGACTCACTTTTCTCTGTGCTTTGTTCTTACAGTTAATCAGTTTCTGGTTTTAATTTTTTTTTTTTTTTTTTTTTTTTTTTTTTTTTTTTTTTTTTTTTTTTTTTTTTTTTTTTTTTTACTTGTCTGCTTCACTTTTGATGCTTCTCGCAGCTATTTTAGAGCCTTTTTGTCTTCTCTATGCTTTCTGCTTTGATGCATCTCCGGCATTGCAATCAAATTAGTTTTACAAAAGACTGAAAAATTAAGATTGGACTATCTAAGGTATTAATTATCAAATGGTTTCTTCAGCCCCTAAATGATGGTTTAGCTCTTGTCAATGTTTTGGGGGTTTGTTGGTTTGTTTTGGTTTGGTTGGGGGTTTTTTGTAATCTAGAAGGGAGAAAAAAACCCCACTCCTTCACAACCATGGTCATAAGAGGTCTGTTTCTACACTGATACTATATACATCACCTGTAATTAACGGCTTGCAGAACTGTAAATTTAATAATGAGTTGTCTTTGAACTGGTACGTAGACCTGTCTTTGAATGGGTTTCCTGCCTTATGCTTCCCCAAGGGAAAAATAGCATGGCTGTTAGGAACAGGTTGGCCGGGGAGGGAGGATGAGTCCGTTTTCAGAATACGTAGGAGAGCTGCGTGCAGCCTTGATGCACATCACTGCTTAGGTTTCAAGCGACCCAGACTGGAGCAGCATTATTAGCGGGGTGGAAGGATGGTGGCTGGTTGAGAACAGGGTTTGGACGAGTACAGTTTGGGGCGAGCCATGTGTTCATGGTGCCCTCTAGGTTTAGGGAAACCACTTCTGAGGGTGATAAGCCTCCTTGAGCGTGAGAATGCTAATGGGCCTCGGTAATCCGATGTTTTATTGCTTCTTGGTGGTGTATTGATTGCTGCTTTTCCACTCTGACCTTGTTGCTTTTCTGACCTCTGTGAGCTTTAGACTGCATTAATGCAAGTGTTTTTGAAGCAGCTGATAGCGCTCAGCTTGCAGCATCAGCTAGTGAAGGATGTAGCTGGCTGCTGCTACCCCGAGATGCAGGCAGGAGGCGTGTTACGCCTCTCTCTTGCTCAGTGGCATCAATGCTTTGAGTTCACAGTCCTTGTTTTGATCGATTTTTTTCTTAACTGTCTTTCCAGTGTCTTCCAAAGAATATGGTGGAGGGGACTGAGTGTGTAGATGGGGTAGAATGCACTTGTCTGAAATCCATCATGCTTCCCCCTTAATTTTTTTTTAATGGCATAAAAATCTACAAGTCTTCTGTGGACCTCAGCTGTAACTGTGTGTTAGTTTTTCTGCAAGTTATCTGTGTGAGCTTTATTGGATATGATACAGCACCAGCAACAAAGGCAACTGTTGGTATAAGAGCTGTTGGTTAGTTGATTTTGATATTTAAATAAAAGAAGCAATAAAAACCTGTTGCCCCTAAATTGAGATGTGAATAAATTAATACATGGAAGAATTTTAACAGCGATGGAAAAGAGATCTTAATCAAAAACAGAACTTGCTATTCCAGTTTTTTGAAACACAAACTTAATAGAAACATTAAAAATGATGGTGGTGTTCCATCTTCTTAAATTTTCTGAATTTTTTTTAACTAGATTTAGGAACTTTAAAGGGTGCTAGTACTTTGTGTTTAAGGATTGATATCTGATAATTTGGAAAAAGTGTAGTAAAAATGCATATTGAGGTCTGTAGAAAAGCATCAGTTTTGCTTGAAAACTAAAGGTGATTAAGAAACATGCTTTAAAAAGTACATCCATGTTCTGATGGCCTTCATTTTTGAGATTTGAGAGTGTGTTTTTAAAATGAAAATATTTTCGTTGCCTGTCAAGATCTTTGTTTTCTTGAAATGTTAGAGGAATAGTAGCAGTTACCCCCTGATAGAGTTTTAACTCTCGAACCTTTTTTGGGCGGTGTTTACCCATAATCTTGAAACCACCTGAATGACAAGTTATTTCCAGATTGCCACTGAGCTGTTTCGGGCAAGTTATGTTGGTTTTCTTTTACTGTTTGTCGCATCTTCCTTGTCTTGTTTGCTTGAACTGCAGTGTGTTTTGGTCAAGAAGTTTTTCTGATTATATTTAGTGTTTAGTACAGTAGTGTTGCAGTCTTAATGACATGTGCAGTATGCAAATCTCTGTTTAATATTAGCATAGTAAACTCATACTAAACTCCTGTTCTGTATTAGACTAGTATTAGCATTTGCAGATTCAGAACTATCAGTAGAGTATGAAGGAGCTTGACTGGCATAACTGTTTGAGAACATGTTGATATTTGGGTTATACTGCTACTAAATTCAGTGGGAAAAAATCTTTCAGTTCACTGGAAGCAGGATTGAGAAGAAAATCTATAGTTCCAAAGAGCATTGTTAATTTGTAAATGGATGAAAGAATTGTAGCACTTGCAGAAGGGACTGTAATTCTTTATTCTGTAGCAAGTCTGGTTTGCTGATGCACTGCTGAACCTCTGCAACATGGCCCTCAATTCTTCTGTATTTTTTTTCTCTGAATACAGATGGAACCAAGTACACAGTGAAATTTGGACATAATCATAGCAGGCTGTATTTTAAGCCACTCTGAAGGGTACTAGACTTCAGTGGAGCCATTCAGCTGTTCTGAGAATCAATCTTGAAGATGCAGGGTTAGAGAGTGCTTTCGAAACACGGACCATGAAGAATTTAACTCTGTGATAGTAATATCAACTTCCTGGATAATTGCAGTAGTTATAGATAAAATACGTCTTTGGGATGCTTGGCAGACATTCTAGTAAGGGGAACAACAGAATTGCTTTCAGTGGTGTGCTAATGGCAAGGCAGTCTGAAAACTGTTTGGAGGGAAAAATATGCAGATAGGGTATTCCACTGAAAACAGGCACGTTCACTGAAAACTTTGGAAGAAAACATGAGTATGGTACAAGTCAGTTAGAAAGGGGGAAAAGGAATAAATTACTTTTTTTCCTCCAGACAATTTACATTAAAGTTTAAATAACGTACGTTGTGTCTCTATGTCTTACTCACTTATATCCTGTGTTGCTATCACACATTACTTTGTATCTGTGCTTTGCATTTGAAAAACATTTAGTGTTTGTTTATGCAACAAAACTACTGCTGACACAATGAATGTGGTAGAGCTTTTCAGCAGCAATGGCTATGCTCCTATGGCTTCCCCATGACTCTCCTTGGGATTCTTGCTAATGGAGCACAAAACTGAAGTGCCTAAGTGAGAAAGGGACTCAGGTGACAAAAGTAATCACAGCTGGAAATATACAAGTCCATTTTTTAAAATATCATTATACAAAATAGTATTTTTAATAGTAAATCTTCTAATACAATTCTAGTTGATCATGTTATTTAAAAAAAAAAAAAAACTGTATCCTTAAAATAGTTTTTCCAGGAGGCACGTTTAATTTATTCACTTCAGAGGATATTTAATTTGTAGATTGTCTTAGTAATATGATTTTTTTTTTTTTTTAAACCATTGAGGGCAAAATGTTGATAAGGCATGACCGTTCTGTTGTACTTTAGTGAAGCAGCGTATTTCAGTTGTAGAACTTCAGACATGGGCACAACACGTGAAAATAGTTCTGACTGCTGCTCCTTTCTTCTCCCCCATTCCTGGTTCCCCTGTGGACCCCTGTGGTCTAGGGCATTCC